TCTGAAGTGGAACTACCTATTCTGGCCGTTTCGTGTAAATCACACACCATGTGGCTTTTTGGGACTGCCTTCTTTCACTTAGCGTAAGTGTTTTGAGGTCCGCCCATGTTGAACCTCATGCTGAATCCCACTCCCCTGTGTGGCTAGACCACATTTGGCTCATCTATCCCTCTGCTGCTGGTGTATTTCCTTGGACACTGAGGGTCAAGTTATTCTCCACCAGACCCTGACCTCCTACCATGTGTCAGACCCCAGGCCCTATAATGTTCCACGAGGCAGCATGGATCGTCTCAAAGTATGTTCTGGAAAGTCATAACTGCATTTTTGTCCAAATAAGCTGTGAAGTTTTAGTCCTTGTTTTTTTAAAAAAAATGTTTTAAGCAATTCCGCAAAGAAGAAAATAAAATAGGTAACAATATGGCACCCAATAAATGGCCATTATTGTTATTATATTATTATTTTGTTCAGTGTTTATTACCCAATGGCCCGATCCACGCCAGGCACTGTGTTTAGACTACGGCATACGTGTGCTTACTGGAGCTTTACAATGACACTTGGAGTTAAACATTGCTGTGCCTTTTTCATAGCTTTTGCAAAGCTGAGGCTCAGAGAGGTTGAGCGCCCAAGCTCAGATCACACAGCCCCTGGTCTCAAGTTGCTCACGGCCTGAGAGTGGGGACACCAACACAGTGGGGTTGAGCTGTTACAGTGGAAGAAGATGCGAACAGACTGCTCCACGCTGGCTCAGCCAGCTACTTTACCTTCACTTAGTCAGGCTGACCCCAGAGTTGGGGTCCCAGCTGGTTTTGAACAAAGAACATTTATTCCATAAGGCTTTTCTCTAGTGGGAAAGGGACTGCTGAGGATCTGAGTGTGGTTTCCAAGCTTCAGTAACTGGATGTGCACACGGGTGCCGTGGGGATCATGCAGATTGTGGCCCAAAGCGGGGCCTGAGACGCCCTGCTTCTAACCCGCTCCCGGGTGACGCTGCTGCTGCCGGTCCGCGGACCACACTTTGAGTAGCGAGGGGCGAGCAGATCCGAGCTCTGATCCCAGCTGCACTGTGAATTCTCTGTGGAACCTTAGGCCACTCTCTTGCTCTCTCTGAGCCTCAGTTTCTTTCCCCGGTCAATTCTCTGAAGAACATTCTCTGAGCAGCCTCTTCCCTTTCTTCGTGCTTGCCAGAAAGGCCCAGGCCGCCCCTGCTGGGGTGAGAGATTTCCTTCCCAAGCCCCCAGGAACCCATCAGCAGGTGCTGGGGGCCGGGGGGGGGGGCGGGCAGAGGCAGGTGGGATGGTCCTACCTTCTGGCCCCAAATTCAGACAGAGGGGGCCAGAGGTGGCCCGGCGCTGGGGAAGCCGCAGTCGAGAAGTTTCTGTTCATCACGGAAACGGCCCATTTGCAATGATCGGTTGCCCAGGTGTTAATAACGCTAATGGCATAGGAAGGGTAAACTTGGTCACTTGGCTGAACAGAAGAAATATGCAGAGAAGTGCTCGAGTTTCCATAAATCAGCCGTGTGCAGCGCTACGAGGGAGGCAGGACTTAAAATTCCGGTCAGGAGATGGGTATTCTCATAATCCGAGCCGGAGAGGTAATTTATTCTGTTTATATCTTTTTACTGCACGACAAGGCTTGGGAGCAGGCACTCTCCACAGCCATTCTGCATTTTAAATATTAGTCCTGAGCACGGTGGGTCAGCCCTCGTGCTCCGTGGGGTGTAGATTTCGGGGCAGGAGGCGAGCTTGCGTGACGGGGGGTGGGATACATGTGGTCCGACTGCCTGGTGGTGGCCAGAATGACAGTCCAGGGGCAGCGGGGGACAGAAGATGTCCCTTTTTTCCGATGCGAGAGGGCATGGCCAGAGCCTGGCTAAACTCCTTACCTGCTTGTCTTGGAATATTTTTTCTCCTCTCGGAAATCTTTTATTTTTAAATGATAATAAATACAAGTGATGAAGGGATAGGAGGAGACGAGCAGAGGCCTTAATGGAGGAGAAGAGGGATGAGGTGGCAGGGGGGAGAGAAGCACACGGGGCGGGCGTGCAGGAAGCGGGAGTCCTTGTGTCTTTCGACCTTGGCAATTTTCATTATGCCCTTTGCTCTTGCGGCTAGCTTCCTTGCGTTGAATCCAGAAGGGGGTTTGAAACCAAATCCAGCGAGTTTGCCATCAGTAAGAATGATAATAACATTCATTTAGGCCCTTTCTTAAAGAATCCCTTTTTGTGGCAGCTGAATTTCATTCATCCATTCACTCATTCCGTTGCGAGAAGACACCTGTGTCGGGCTGGCTCTGTCCTGGGTCCAGGGGCGACGTGGGCTCTAGAAATGAAAGTTCTGGGTTCGAAACCTGGCTCTGCCACTCCCCTGCCGTGTGACCCCAGGCAGCCTGCTTCGCGTCTTGGGCCTCAGTCTCCTCATCTGCAAAGTGGGAATACCGAGGCTCCTCTCGAAGGGGAGCTGTGGGGGCTGAATGAGGTGCCAGTCAAGGGGCCCAGAGGGAGGTGGCAGTGGCTCCGTGGGGCTGGGAGTCATCAGAAGCTCTTGGAAGCCTGATGACTGGGAAGCACCCTGGGCCCAGCCCCAGAGAGCAGCTCCAGCCAGGAGTGGCGGGGCCTGGGGCTGTGCATTTTCAGCGAGCTCTCTCCTCCAGCCGCGCTTTGAGAAAATGCTCGTGGGTGCTGAGGGACCGGTGTCCCTTCCTGACTGCCCCATCCCCGCCCGGCCTTTCTCAGGAGCTGCCTCCTTAGCTGAGTGCACTGGGTGTCGTGGTGGTGACGCCTGCGGGGGGCAGGTGGGCTGGGGGTGGATTTCTCCTCCCGGAGTCCCTGGACCGGGTTAGCATGTGGGAGCTAAAATGAGCTCACAGGAGTGGGGGTGACTTGGGGCTGGGTTGGGCTCCGTCTTTTCTCTTGTCACCCTTCAAGGAAGCTGGTGTGTGTGTGTGGGTAGAATGGGGAATTGAACCTGTGACCTGGATCTCTTGAACCTCAGCCACAGGCTGAGTCACTTCTTTTCAATCCTCACCGCGAGCCGTGGATGAGATGACGTCGTGAGGCCATTTCACAGTGCAGCAAACTGACACAGTGACCCGCCTCCGGTTCCTGCTCCCTTCTGCCTCCTTCCCCTCCTATTCCTCTTTTTCTCCCCTCTCCCCTCACTTCCTCCTTCCTCCTTTCCCCTCCTCCCTGCCTCTGTCCCTCTGTCACAAGCCTGTTTGCCTTGTGGGGAGTGTGGGGTGAGTCCTCCCCTCCTCCCACCTCACTTCCTGCATCTCATTCTGATGAAAGCTCTGAGTGAGCCTTCTGCAAATTCACGCACGCCCAGAAAGCATTTGGGGGGGGCCTGCAGAGTTGGGGCCCACCTTGCAAATTCTCTCTTGGTCTCTAGAATCCATCAGATCGGGGCACCCCACAAAGGCAGAAACACAACCCAATGCATGGACTGGACTCCCAGTCTGCCACTCCCGTGCTGTGTGACCTTGGACAAGTCTCTTGACTTCTGCGAACGTCCTAATGGGGCCATCAATACCTACCCGGATACAAACCCAAAGATTTAGCTGCAAGGATTTTATTCCAGTGTGGTTTAAAGAGGCAAAATACTGGAAATGAACTCAAATATTCCAACATAAAGGTTTAAACAAATGAAAGAGAAGCCAGAAACAGGATGGGCTCAGCCATTCAGGGACTTTGAAGCAATGTACTATCACGAGGAGAGGTACTCTGGCTGTGAAGATCGGGGTTAGGACGTCTGGAAGATATTTCGCATGGACCAGACAGGCTGATCGCACAGGGTGCTGTACCGTGCTAGTGATACCTCTGTTTCAAATGAAAAAAAAAAAAAAAAAAAGGGTCTGGGAAGAATAGTGTTCAAACCACATCACCAAATTCTTGAGGATTGCGGAATGATGGCATTTTGTCTTTTGCCTTTATGTTTATCTGGAATTTCTAAATTCCCAGAGCTGAGCAAGTAGCATCTTGTCGACGAGAGACACGCGGTGCGTAGCAGGGAAACTGCGCCATCTTGCATCTATCCTGCGAGGGGGTCCCGTGAAGGTAGCGGTGAAGGGAGCCGAGCCCCCCAGCACGTGCGCTGCCTGGCTCCGTGGTGCTCCACCCTCACCCAGCCTACCCCGTCCATCGCACCTGCTCCCCCGCTGCTCAATAACATGCCACGCTCCTCCCACCCAGGGCATTGGGTGAGAGATGGGTCCAAACGGCAGGGACATCGTCCGCATATTTTCACCTCTCTCAATCTGCTTTTACTAATTTCACAGGGCCGAGTCTGGAAGGGGATGTTGAAGAACCTCCCTCCAAACCCCACTTTTGCAAGTAGGGAAACTGAGGCAAATGGGGCGAGGAACTTTAGGGTGGTGGCCTCAGGGGTCCTAAATCTCTTTCCATCTTGCCTTCACCTTGTGCATGCACGATCCGCCCTGCTCTGGCAGGTGGGGCGCGGTGGGGCACTTAGCAACCTCATATAGCCTGAGACAAAAGCATCGGTTACCTGCCTGCCTGGCTTACTTATTAGATGTATTTATTTATTTTTCGGCCACCTGGAGTTACATGGGGCGTGTGGTAGTGGAGCTTAATTCTTTTGATGCACCAGGGCAGACAAATCACACACCCATTCAAGCCGTTCTGAAGACCTACTATAACTCGAGCCGGCTTGTGTTAGCGCAGGGTGTCGCAAAACCCGGGAGGTTCTCTGCGCTGGCACACAGTTGCTGTCAAACATGGCAGCCACGTTCACGAACGCGGAGTCGCCCAACGCTCTCCCCTCTGGGGGTGAAGAGTGGCGCTTTGCATTTCTCCAGTCGGATTCCTGTCAGATCCAGAGCCAGAGAAAACCACAGTTCCATCCACTCTGCGCTGACTCCCAAGGCACGGGGACAAAAAAAGAAACCACACAGCGCGCTGAGAAAGAATTTTTTTTTATTAACCGTTCTTTTTAAAAATGTTGCATTGTGTTTTTTTTTTTGTTTGTTTTTTTTTTTGGTAAACCTCTTTCTCCCTCCCCTCACTCTGCCCACCCTCCTCTTAAAAATATAAAAATGTCCAACCCCAGATAACTAGAGTACAATAAATAAACAGTAAACACAAAAACATACTTTATTTGTTTCTTCTTTATACAAAATAAGGAAACTAGAAGCGTTCAACTTCCAAAAAAGTATAATATTGTACATCCTGACAGCCCAGCCTCCAGGCCCGGGCGGGGAGGGTGGGCTGTGGGGGGGCGTCAGAGCCCGCCCAGCAACCTTGGGGCCTCGCCCAGGGGAGAGCAGGACGTGGGGTGTTCGAGTCCCGCCTGCACCCTCGGCTCAAAACAAATGTCAAAGTCAGGAAGAGGGGAGCAGGTCCGGGCTGGGGGGTGGGGGGGTCCTGACTGCCCGGCTTCTAGAAAAGCTGACCTTGAGCCTTAAGACCGGCCGCCAGGGGGCGCCCGCGGGCAGGTGGAGTCGTCTTCTCCCGGGACACACCCCTGCAAGCGCGCGGCTCGCTCCTCGCTCTCCCCGTCTCTCCCTTCCTCATCTTGCTCCCTTTCCCCTCTCTCTCCGTCCATCTCTCTCTTTTGCTTATCACCTTGTTTTTTTTTAAAGACGGGGAAAGCAGAGCGAGAAATAAGATGACAAAATGCCACTCGGATTGCAGAGGGGGGCACATGGTCTCCGCGCTTGACCTCACCCTCTCTTACTCCAAAGAGGGGGTGGGCGGGTGGGTGGGAGCTGCGGGACCGGGAAGAGCGTGCTTGAAATCTCTGACCCTCCGGAGTGCTGACTTTGGTCCCAAGACATTGCTCAAGGCCCGAGAGAGCCCTGGCGGTGGGCTGGGGCTCCCGCAGAGGGGTGGAGATTGGGGTCGGCCCCCCCACCCACAGCCCTCCCCCCAGCCGAGAAGCAGCTGCTGGTTGAGTGCGGACCCGAGAGAGAACCCCCGAGGGAGACCCACGTCCTCAGCGTCCGCGTCGCTCCGGGAGTTTTGGTTTCTGGAGGCTTGGTGCCGGCGGCGCCCCGGGCCGCGCGCGGGGTGGGGGCGGCCGGCGCGGTGGCCTTACCACACTGCGGCCTCGTTGAGCTCGGGGTTGGGGTGCGACAGGGGTCCGCTGTAGCCGCTGGTGCCGCTCATGGGGAAGGGCGGGCTGGGCCCGCCGCTGAACACCTCTCCGGGCATGGGGTGCAGCGCGCCCGGCAGGCCCGGCTCGGGGCTCGGCGTGTCCGGGTGCGAGATCATGTCGGTGAACCGGGGGTTGTCGCCCGCGTGAGGCCCGGCCAGCGGCGGCTCCAGCGCGCCCAGCGGCGTCGAGCCGGGCCCCGAGGCAGCCAGGAAGCCGGAGTCGGCCGGGGACTGCGCCTGCGACGGCGGGCCGTGCGCGAAGAAGTCGTAGTTGCTCCCGGCGCGTGTAGTACGGCCACTGGTTAGTCTGCGAGGCAGTGGGGGACACTGTGTCGTTGGCGTTGGTAGCAGTGTTAAGTGGCGGGCGGACCGGACTGTATGTTGTTGTGTTTGAGGGGGGGGGGGGGGGGACCGGAGGAAGACAAGCCAAAAATGCGGACGTCCGGGCGCAGAGGACCCGGCGAGATGAGTTAGCGACACTGACCCTACGTTGGAAAGACGGCCAAAGGGAGGGGAGCCCCGAGCCCGCGGACAGGGTGGGGCGCCGGCCCCACGGGGGAGGGCCTTGGAGAGAGAAGCGGGACCGAAAGGCAAGACGACTAAAGCTGTAAGAGACCGCGACGAGAGACGGGGAGACTCAGGGTGCGCGTGACCACGGGAGATGATGCAGCGTGAAAGATCGCAAGACAATAGTCGATGGTTTCCTTAAAGGGGACAGAGCCACAGCGGCCAGAGACACAGAGACAGTCGAACGATGCCAGAGGGTGTCCCAAAGCTGGGGGAGCGAGTACAGAGAGGACACAGAGGATGGCAGAGACAGAGGCGGGGAGAGGGGGGCAGCCGGGAGCCAGCAGACTGGTAGAGACCGGGAAAGAGACCCAAAGCCCTCCGCAGAGACAGGAGAGCCGAGAGATCGGAGGTGGAGCGAGAGACGTTGGAGGAGACGCAGAGACAGAGAGATGAGACAGCCGCGGTTAGAGACAAGCAGAAAACCCGGGCGGAGGGGAGAGATGGAGCGAGACCCATGCGCCCAGAGACTGCGAGTCAGTGGGTTGGCGACGTGCGCCCAAGGAAACTCCAGAGACGCGGAGGCTGAGAGGCCGGGGAGCAGCCGGGTGGGGACGAAGGTGTGGACAGAGCAGAGCGAAGCGGTCGAGACCCAGACGGCGACCCGGCCGGAGAGAAGCTGGGACTTGGCAAAGGGGCCGGCGGGCTGTGCCAGGGGCGCAGGGGGCCTCAGCGCGGTCTCCCCGACCCCTGGCGCGAGTCCTTTGCCCTGCCAAGTGCGGCCCGCCCCCGCGCGTTCATTCAGGTGAATACTCGGTCCCACCGCTTGTCCCGGCCTCGCCCGGCCCAGAGCGGAGAAAGCTGAGCTCCGGCGACTTGGGGGAGGGCGGGGAAGACACGGACATTCATTCGCGGGGTCATGCCCAGAGCTCCGCGGGTGCCTGGGGTGGAGGCTGGACCCTCCGGCCTCATCCCGGTGGGTTTGCCAGAACACTCAGGTTCTGAAGCGTTTGGGGACATCGAGCCCTTTGAGAAGCTGGTGATAGTTACAAGTTCTCTCCCGAGAAAAATGCACAAATTCGGGGACTCCAGGTTGCACGCCCCTCCTGCCTCAGGAAATTGCTTTTGCAGTCACTCCTTTAAATGCCGCCCACAGCCCCTCCTCCAGGTCCTCCAGGCCGTCTGCTTTCCCGTCCAGGTGGGCCCCTGAAGGTTTAGGCAGAGGACCCGGGAAAGGGGCACCTTGTGGCCCGCACCAGTGACAACAACCCGCTTTGTACGCCGCGAAAACCGGCGCCTCCAGCAGTCTCTTTGCGAGCCCACTCTCCTGCTCGGTTCTGGGGTCTCAGTCCCAGGGCGAATTCCGGACGCTCCCGCCACTCCCCGCCCCTCCAAACCCTGAAATCTGTCCAAATTGGGGGGGGGGTCTGGAGGCGTGGCTTGCAGACAATTTGGGCAACAGCTAAAACGGTCGCCAATTACTTTTTAAAACGACTAATTCCATTCTCCCAAAAAAGTAAAGGGGAAGGTTGGGAGCGGCGAATTTGGAGCCCCAAAGGGACGGGGCCGGGGGCCGAGCGAGGCCCGCAGCGAGCCGGCAAAGCAGCGAAGGCCGCGGCCCCGGCGCGCTGCGCGCCGCCTCCGCCCATATGGCGGCCGGGCCGGAGGTAATTGGAACAAACGCCGTCTGAAAAGGGCACAAAAGCCGCAGCTGGGGCTTTGTCCGCGCTCCCACGGGGAGCCGCCGGCCCCGCCGCCCGGCCCCTTTCTCGCCCGCTGCCGGCCGCCACCGCCGGGATCTCCCAGCGCGGATTAGGCGTGGCTGCCTCGCTGGGGGCTGGGGAGTCCTGTCCCCCATTCCGGGGAATGAGCCCCCCCCAGTCCAGCTCCCCACCCCTTCCAGCAGGCGCGCAGGGAGAGGCGGCAGCGGGATTGGTGGGGGGCGTAATGGTCCTGGGGGGAAACCTTGGTTAATTACCCGGGCGGGGAAAAATTCCAGGCCGGTACCGCCCCCACCACCTCGCTGCTCCCGGGATGAGATTTTGTGCAGGAGGCAAAACTGGGTGGAGAGAGCCGGTGACCGGAACCCGGGAGGACACGCCCACCGCCCCCGCTGCTCGGGGCTGGGGGCTGCAGCTCCGCAACCTGGCTCTGCCACCTGCGGGTTCCCACCCAGGAAAAGCACAGCTTCGCATTTTGCCCGCAACTTCTAGGGACCCTGATCGGGTCTCAAAGTCTAACCTCCTGGGGCTCTGGATGTGCTGAGGTCAGTTGTGGGGTTCTCTTACCTTCCCCCTCGGGTCTGCCTGGGTGTCTAGCTCCTGCCCCGTCCCACGTTGCCACTGAACCCACTTTTCTAAGAGAAGTTGCCCGTCCCCAACCTGGGCTACTAGCGGGAAGCAGGCGTATGGCACAGAGTGACTCTGAAACACAGACCCTCTCCCAGTCCTGGGGGCTCCCCAAATCCAGAGGCTCAAAGGGAGGAGGTGCTTCCTCGAGCACACAGCTCTGGAAGAGCCAGCATAGCATTGTCCTGGAGCGAGGAGCACAGAAAACTGAGGTGGGGAGAGCTGCGGGTCACCTACCCAGTGTGAGGGAAACGAGGGGAAGGGAGAGAAGAAGGTAGGAGAAGGGAGAGGGGGGTCCAAGTGGAGAGTTCACCTTTGTAAACACACCCTCTACAGCCCCAAAGGCAGAGAGAGTGGGGATCTGGGCCCTTGCACCCCAGTCCCAACGAATCCCGGGGTGCTTGGGGCTGGAGGGCGGGCCAGAGTCCTGCCCAGAGCGACTGCCGGCATTTGGCTAACAGTGCCAGACGCTGCGCGCACAGTGCCGGCGGTGGAACTGGAGCTGCTGCCTCCAGAGCGAGCGAGCAGGCGGCCTGGAGTGAATCCAGACCCCCCTTCCCTCCCTCGGCGCTGCCCTCAGTCCCTGGAACCCGCCTCCTGCCAAGCACACCAGCGCGCGCCAGGGCGGCAGGAAGGCTGCGTGTCCTGCGTGCCCGCCGCGTGTCACGAGTGAGGATGCAGTGCCCGCCTCGGTATGAGGTGCGGGAGTGTGTGTCTGTAGATTTGCGTGTCTCAGTGGGTGTACCTGGGGTGGCGGTGGAATGTGTTTGTGTGCGATCATGTGTCTGGATGTCCCTGAATCCAAGTGTGTGTGAGAGCGCGCCCATGTGTCCTGCGGGGGGTGAAGGTGAGGGTGTGTGTCACTGTGTATCTTGTATGTGTGTCACTGTATGGGTGAGTCCACGTCTGACTCTGTGTCCAGCAGGAATAGGGGAGCGTGCACGTGTCCGTGGCTGTGTATGTCCTGCGGGAGTGGGACGGAGCGGAGGGGGAGTGTCCGGGGCGACTGAAAGCGAGCTGGCCGGGGCCCTGTGCCCTGCGCCCTCATCAACCAGAAGAGCGCGGGCGGAGGTACGGAGCAGCGCGTCTGGGGCGCCCCTTACCTCCGTAGTAGGTGTATGGGGTGGACCCCAGCATTTCAGACTCGTCCAAGCGGCCGCCCAGCGGACGCATGCGCCGGGGACTCCGGAAGAAGGCGTGTCTCCGCGCGCCCAGAGCGCTCAGCTGTTTCATCCGGCGTTCTTTGGACCGTCGGTTCTGAAACCACACCTGGGACGGAGGAGCGGGCTGTGAGCCTGTGGTCGGTCGCCTCCCCGCCCCTCTCCTCCCCGCCCGTGTCGCCCCCGCTGGGTCCTAGCGCCTCTTCCGCACCAGGGCTCCCCCGAGGCGGAGGCCGGGCCGGATTAGGCCGGGAGGGGTGGAGAGGGGCCTCGGCGAACCAGCCAAGGGTGAAGGATTTCGCGGACCCGTGGGGCGACTCATAAAGACTTGGGCTTCCCGGTCCTCGGCTGGCCTCGGCCTGACGGCTTTATAAAGGCCCCCCGCCCGGCACGGCTCCCCCTCGGCCCTCGGCCCTCGGCCCCAGAGCCGGGCTCTGGCCGTGGGTCTGTCTGCCCGCGCGCGGCGCAGGGAGGGGCGTGTGAGGAACGTCGCCTCTCTCTGCTCCGGAGGAGGGAGGAAAGGAGGGCCCAGGGACCCTAGAGAGGCTTAAAACCTTCCTTGAACAATGCGGGGGGAGTCGAATTCAGAGAGGTGAGGTGACCCGCCCCGAATCGCACCGCCAGGAGGACAGCAGGCTGGGCTAAATCTCTGGACTCGGAGTCCCTGGCCTCGGCGGGCGCCCGCTGTCCGGCCTCTGGCGCAGCGTCTGCTCCGAGACCAGAAGCCCGAGCGCCTCTCGCCAGAGAGGCTCCAGAGGCCCCTCCGAGGCCCCGGACGCAGCAGGGCCAGGGAGGCGCCGCGAGCCCGGGCCGCACCTGGATGACGCGCATGTTGAGGCCGGTCTCCTGCGCCAGCTGCTCGCGGATGTGGCGCGTGGGCTTGGGCGTGGCGGCGAAGGCGGCCTTGAGCGTCTCCAGCTGCTTGGCTTTGATGGTGGTGCGCGGCCCGCGCCGCTTGGTGCCCGAGTTCTGCTCCTCGTTCTCGTTGTTGGCCGTCTCCTTGTCCGACGAGGTCGAGTTGTCCGTCTCCTTGGGGTCGTCCTGCAGCGGGTCCTGGAGGTCCGGGGACAAACTGCGGTCCGTACAGGATGACACTGCGGGGCGGATGGGTCGGGAAGGGGACAGCGCCGTCAGCTGCGGCCCGGCCCGGCGCCTCTCCAACCCAGGGGCCGGTCCCAGCCGTCCCAGGCTCCCGCGGGCTGCGCTGGGTTCCCTCCCAAACCTGCGACAGCCCCTCCCCCAGGGCCCGGCGCCCGCCCACTCTCTCCGGGCAGGGCTGGGCCTTTGGAAAGGCTTCCTAAGCCCTCTCAGCTATTGCCTGGGTGGGGGGGGCGCGGGGGGAAGGCGCCCTCCGGATCTTCCTGTCTCTCTCCTTCTTCTAGACCCCAATCAACGCCCTCCCAGTGCACCTAGAAATTACCTGGAGCTCAAATGACACAGAAGGAATTGAAATGTGCAGTTTCAAATTAGGGAAGGAGGGCCACTTGGAACAGCCGCCTGAATTGGAGGAGTGCGGAGAAGAGCTGGCCGCTCCTGGTTCCCCAGCAGGACCGGCTGCAAGGCTCTCTTCCCCAACCTCTAACCCCTGGCCTCGCCCTAGAACTGCCTCGTGGGCGACCGAGTCCTGAGCTCTGAGCTGGGCACAGACCTCCCACAGCGGGCGAAGTAGAGGCTGCCCAGGGCAGGAGGGCGCTGGCGCCCAGGGCTAGGAAGGGGCCCAGGCCTGCATACCTGAGTTGAGGCTGCCCTCCTTGAGGCTGGACGAGCTCAGGTAGTCGTCTTTGCACACGAACTTGTTCTCGTCGATGACATAGAGCTCCTCGCCCGTGGACAGCTGCTTGTTGCACACCATGCAGGTGAAACAGTTGAGGTGGAAGACTTTGCTCCGGGCCTTGCGCACCAGGTCGCTGGGCGAGATGCCTTGTGCACAGCCAGCGCACTTGGTGCCGAAGCGCCTGCGGACACAAGGTGCCCGTCACCGTGGGGTGGGCCTGGCGTCCAGTCCTCAGCCCCTGACCCCTTCCCACCCACCCTGGCTTCCTAGAAGCCTCCCCTTCCTCCTCCGTTGAACAGAGCCCCAATCCTGCACTCCCAGGCCAGAGCGGGAGACGGAGCACAAGTGTCCCGGGCTGGTCTTGGGACCTGGGCTGCCATGCCTCCACTGGCTTCATTCGCACCCTCCTGGGCTGCGAAGGGGCAGGCGATGGGTGCAGCCTTGAGCCGAGCAGAAGGCCCCTAGTGTGCTAAGATGCCTCCCCCCATCCCAACCTGCCAGACCTGCCTGAGCTGCTCCAGGCAAACTCAGAGTTCATGAAGGATTTGAAGCCAGGTGGGCAGGGGCCATGGACCACTTCATGGCTTTGCCTCCTGGATCCTGTCTAGTCTGCTGGTGCCCAAGTAGGGCCAATCTGCCAGGCTGGCTGGTCCTAGCAGGGAGCCCCTCCCCTGGGCCAGACTTAAGCAGGGAGGGGGAACCTTCCATGGATTCCCAGCACCAACTAAAAGGCTTTCCAAGCCCCACTCTGAGCCCCCCCCCATGGAGCTAGGCAGGAGCTGTGGACGGCAGGACCTCGCAGGGGGGGTAGACTCTAGGAAGACTGAGTTCCAGCCCCCCACCCCCACCCCAACCTCTGGCCCTGGCAGGCAGCAGGGGAATGGGAACAGAAGGCAACCATAAACCTTGCACAGCCAGGAGAGGGATCTCTCAAATGCCCCCTTTCCTGCCTTCCTGATCTCATTCCTTTTCTTTCTTCCTTGAGCCCAGAGAGAAAGCTGGTTTCCCTTGAAATAGGTGGTACAGACCCCCAATGCCAGGGGTGAGGTGCAAGTTGGGGGTGAGGGGGAGGGCCCAGGACTCTGGGGACCCCATATCTACTCACACCCACGTCTCTAAACAGGGCGAATTTGGGTGACATTGATGTAGTGAGGGCATTAGAAGCCATAAGTCACTTTTGGCCTTATCCGGCAGCGTAATTGGCCATATGCACCTTATCAAAAATCATTAGGCGCCTTGCAAGCACCGCCACATTAGGGGCGTCGGGCCTCCGGGCCGGGGAGTTTACACGTGTAAAGGCGCGGCTGACATTTTCTCCTATTCAAATTCCCTAGTGCGGAGGAGCGCTGGGGCCGGCGGGCCGCCTTTCTCCGCGGTGTTGATCACGCCCCCCTTTCTCGGCGCCCGGAATTCGCGTTCACAAAGCCGGCCCTGGGCGCGGGGTGGAAGCAGGCAGGGCTAAGCTGCCTCCAACCCCACAGGAATCCAGGCTGCCCGTCTGCATTTCCCAGCCGGGAAACTGAGGCCCAGAGAGGCGATCTGCCCTGGCCCACCTGAGGGTCGCACGGGCTAGGGGGAGGTGGGCCACACAGCCCCAACTAGACCCCGGAGGTCCTGATTCTCAGCGTCGGTTTCATTTGTGCTTTTCAACACGGGAGAAAATGTTTAAGGGGTCAGGAGGCGAGGAGCGGGAGGTTCCCTCCCCCATCGCCAGGGGAGACCCTCCTCGCTGGCCCCCTCTGGAGCTGAGAAGTTTCTGTGTGTCCAGGAGGGCGGCCTGTGGGTTCACGCAATCTGCCCAGAGGGAGGAGCCCCGAGCCGGCCCTAACTCCAGCAAAAATCCCTCCTCTGTCGGCTTGGGGCTTGAGGCTTCCGTCCTGGGGCTGCAGCCGCCGGGAAGGCGCAGAGACGGATGGAGAGCAAGTTTGTCGGGGCTTCCCGCCCCTGCCCCAGCACCGCTCCCAGCCGGCCTCGAGGAGCGGCCGGGAGGCAGCCAGACAGCTCCTTCCTCCGCCTGGGCTCGGGCCCTTCCTGGCCGGGGGGCAGGAGGAGAGCAAAGTGCTGCCCGGCTCACCACCGACGCTTGTGAGCCCGGGGGCTCGCGTGGGTACCGTGGTCTCCCTGCCCCGACGCCCCAGTGAGGCGCGCGCAGGGCGGGCGCGCAGGCACGGGGCGGCGCGGCCTCTTACCTGAAGAAGTCATTTTTGCAGTAGAGCTTGCCCTCGCGCGAGAAGCACTTCTCCGAGAGGTTGGTTTTGCACTCGCAGCACTGAACGCATTTGATGTGCCACGCGCGGTCCAGCACGTTCAGCAGGAAGCGGTCGAGAATGGGCCGCTCGCAGCCGGCACAGTGCACCATCATAGCCGCGCGCCCTGGCGGCTCGGGCCGCCTCGCCCTCCCTTTGGGCCCCCGGCCCTCGGGCCTTCCGGGCCCGCCGCTGCGCTTCGCCTCCGGTCTCAGCAGCCGCCGGGCGAGTCCAGTCCGGGCCAAGACTCAGCCGGTCAAGTCCTCGGGCGAACGCTGGCCTGGAGCCGGGCTGCCCGGAGTGGGGTGCGGGGTGGTGGCGTTCACCACCTCATGCCACGGGCCGCGCGCCCCGGCGCCTGTTCCGGGCTCCCCCAGGTGTCTCGGGTGGCTGCCGGCCTCGGCGCTGCCGAGCGGCTTTCCCCGGTGGCGGAGGCGCCGGCACTTTCCCCCACTTTCAAGCGGTCCCGATCCTCATCTTTGTCTGGCCGCCGCCTAATTCGCGCATCCTTATTCAGATTTGGTGACGTGGCGCAGCACGTAGGGGGCCCGGCGGCCAATGGGCGCACCGTGGCCATGGCAACCTCTTAAATTTATAGCATATCTAAATTGGCTACAGCTTTGCGGTCCGGACAGAGCAAAAAAAACAAGGCATCAGTATTGTTGAGTATTAGCTTGTACCTGGTTCCGAGGCTAAGTAAGTATTTACCTTCCAGTTTGGGGCTGGGGGGCGCGGGCCGCGCGGTCGCAAAACTGCGTCTCTCTTCCTCTTTCGCTCTCTCTCCTCACAAATACCAGGGGGTCAGGGTTCCAAGGCCTAGTCTGGGAGGTCCCCCGCCCCATTCGCCTTCCCTGGAACTTGCAGAAGTTGCCGGGGGCCCGGAGCGCGCCGCGTCGCCTCCCGTTCCCCAGCCCAGCCCGCCAGATAGGAGTCACCCGCCCCGCGCCTCTGGGGTCAGCGCCCCGAGCGGAGCTGAGCCAGCGCGGTTCTCCGGGCTCCCGGAGCTGGCCCCGGCTTCTTTTGTCATACGCGGGGATGGGGCCCAGGCGCGCCTTTCTCATGGAGAGAGCCAGTGGAGGCCGCGCGGCTGCTTGGGTAGCTTGCACCGCCCGGCCGCAGAGCCCAGGCCCAGGTTGGGGCGGTGGTGCCATTAGGCCTGGCCCCGGACTCCCGAGTTTCAGGCCCGAGCGCGCCGCTCGCAGAGCTCTCGGGGAGAAGTGGAGAGGGCTGAGTTGGGGTGGACGGGGCTTCCCGAAGACAGCTCGCAGGTGGTACTCACCACGTTTCTCCTTTCCTTGCCCACCTTCCAGATCCCTGGTCAGCCAGGCGGGGCACTGTGGTGAGTGGGTCGCACCGCCGAGGCGGGGGACGCGGGCGACTGCGTGGGCGTTGTTTGCGCTCACACCGCGCGGGCTGAGCGCGCAAGTTCAGTCCCTCACTGGACGGACGCAGGGGGAGAGGCGCACGTGTGCTCCGGGCTCTGCGGGGCGCCGAGGGTGTGGGGAGTGCGTGTGGGGTGATCGCAGGCGGGTGGCGAGGGGTTGTGGGTCTGAAGGCGAGGCCTCCTTTCCCTTGGGGCCACCTGCGCTCCAAGTTGGAGAGGCGGGGAACACCCGGCCAGGATGTTCTTTCCCTGAGAAGCTCTGAGAAAGAGGGCTGAGGGGGCAGGGCCTGGGCTCCAGGGCTGGAACTAGTGGGCTTTTTGTGCCCAGACTTGGCCGTGAGCGTTTGTTTGGGTGTATTTACTGAATTTGTGCGTGTATGCTCAACGTTTGAGAATTGCATTTTCACATCTGTTTTTAGTATGTTAGTAATCAATCCTGTGAGTGCGTTTTGGTATGTGTATTTTTGTGTGTGCAAATTTGTGTGTTTATAATTGTGTATGGTCCTGCTAACGTTTGTATGTATCAACGTGTGCACTTTTTTTTTTTTGCTGGGCTGCGTGTATGTGTGTATGCTTACGTGAGACCGAATGAATGTGAGGGTGTTTGCATGTGTACGTGTGCATTTGTGTAAGAGTATTTGTGTATGTGTGTGCAAACACCGGTGTGAAGGTGTACTTTAAAAAATAGGAATATGTGTATTTGCATGTAGGTGAGCATGTGCATGCCCGAGACCCCGAGCTGGTTGGGTGTGTTTGTGAGTGCAGAATTTTGAAGGTCTATGTTTGTGTGCCAGTCACTCTGTGTGCGCCTGTGTGTGTGTGTGTGTGTGTATTTGTGCAGCCAGTAGAATTTTTGTTCATGCAACTCCTGTAGGTTTTTTGAGGGGCGTATTTTTATGTGTGTTTGTATGTGGCTCCTAATGGCACTTACCTTGACGAATTGGAGGTGGGGGGAAGCAGGATTTGTGGCTGCCTGTGTTGAGGCCCAGAGATGCTCACTTGTCCCCCTGTTTCTTTTCAGGTCTAGTGCTGTCCCCACAGTCTCTAGGGGAGGTGATCTTGCTGGGGACAATTGATAGGTGCCTGTCACTGGGTGGAGCATTGACCTACCAGCCAGGCCTCTGGAAAAGGAGTCCCCAACCTGGGCAGCTTCTGCCTTGTCGCTTTAGTTACTTGGGCATCCAGCTTGTCCGAGGACAGGTGTCTACACTGCAGAGTAGTGAGGCCAGCTAGAGCCGGGCTCTGCTGGAACAAGCAGGATGGATCTCATCTGGCCTCCCAGGCCCAGCCGAGAGAGGCTCCAAAGGAAAGCAGAGTTTCTGGCAGCACCTGCCCTGCCCACCTGGGGCGTGAAGGATCCTTGAGCTCTGGCAGGGCAGAGACGGAAAGACATAAGAGCGCAGAGAGAAGAGAGGCGCCTGGGCTCTCGGAGGAGGTGAATCGTTCTGCCTTCTCCGTCTTTGTCTCACTGGGGTCTTCGTCTCTCCTGAGTTCATCGTGTCTCTGCTTTTCTTTCTACCTCTGTTTCTCTTTTATGCTCAGTCTGTTCTCTTTCTGTCCCTTTCCTTCTGTTTCTCTTTCTCTGTTTCTCTCCCTTTTTTGTTTTCCTTCCTCAGCCTCTCCGCTGGGGCTTCCGAATCCAGCATCCGCTCAATGCTGAGATTCGCGCTTCTCATTGTGCACTGACCGCACAGATTTTGGGGTGTGCGGAGCACACTTGCACGCCCCACCCACACACTCCACAGTCATTAAAAACCTCCCTCCGACCACTTTCTTCTCTGCTCCAGACTAGGCTCATGGAGCCCACTCTCCCCCAACCCCCGCCCCCCCAATATCCAAAGAGCCAGGTCTGGTGCGTGTTCCCGGCCTGGGCTATGCTTACCCACCGGTAGCCGGGGCCTGTGTTCCCGGCTGCATCTGACTCTCAGACAAATCCACTAGCCCCCCTCTCCTGGGTGGTTTCGATGAGGTGGCACAGCCAGGCCTCAGCCTGGGGATGTTGCAGGAGCAGGGAACAATGTCACATAGCAGCCCTGAATAGGGATGTGGAGAGTCTCCCGGGGCTCAATCCCTGCTTGCAGGAGACGAGGAAACTACTTCCAGAAGCCCTGCTCTGACCTTCCACCCTACCCCAGTCAGCGGAGTCGCAGCCCCCCAGAGTTGCCCTGGGGACCTCACCCCCAGTGCAGCACAGCTCCCAACGCCCGCGGCCCCAGCCAGGCTGCCCCGAAGCCAGCTCAGCCTTCTCCATCCCATCACCTTCCCGGGTGCACAGCTTCGGGAAGTGCCAGCAGACCCACGATTAGACGCGTCCTACCCTAACGGCGCTAACAGATGGCGACAAGGCAGCGAAATCCCCTCCTATATGTAACTAATAAACCGCTTGTGTCTTAACAGGGTGATGCATGGAGACGCAATGTCCCTTATACAAGATGTTGATGGAATTTACTATATAAAAATCTTCCTCCTAGAGTAAAGAGTATCAACATTACAACTCGACAGACGGAGGCGGGATAAGTAAAACAGACAAAAGACAAACAAGATAATAATCTGTTTCCAATCACTTAAGCCCCGTAGAGTTAGTAATATGCGGCTTGCATATTCCCCCTTGAGTTCGGTAATTAATTACCGCGGAGGAGGCGCACACCCGCGGGGGGGCGGGGAGTTTTGAGGCGCCGCTGAGCTGGGGCGTGGGGTGGGGGGGACTTTCTTGACTTCTTGGGTCGGGGACACGGGGCAGCGGCCGGAAGGCGGGCTCTTCTGGACTTTGGGAGCTGCCCTGCCCTGCCTGTCGAAGAGGACATTTCAGTCGCACCTCTCCCCTCCTCACCGGAAGGTCTCCTGCCTCGGGATTCTGCGGGCAAGCGGGCGCGGGCCGTCTCCGGCGGCCAGCCTGCCTCCTCGCTCCTCCTAAGACACTTCCTCTCTCTGCGAGGCCAGGAGTGGCCTGCTTCTTGCGCAACGCGCGCTGGGACCCGGGAGGCCTCTCCTTGCCCTCTTCTCCCCGCAGTATCTCGGGCGCCGCAGCCGGTGCTCTCCCGACTTCGATCATTACCCCTCCCCCCCCACACGCGTCCCTCCCCCCCAAGAGCCAGCTCGGCTTTAACATTAAACAAACGCAGCGAGCGCCTCGGAGCTGCGCTCTCGGCCGGTCTGCGCGGCGGCGGCGGCGGCGTTACAAATTGTAAATTTAAATTGCTCGCCGGATTCATTACCTCCCCTCTTTGATTTCAGCCAGCCGTGAAAAATTATACTGGTGTACCACTGAGAAACTGTTTTGCCGCAAAGAGCCTACGCCTAATCACTGGCTTTCTCCCTCTGACAAAAGTGTAATTATTTTGTTTGGGGTGTAAATATAGACCGCGCCGCGCACACACACTCAGCGTCCCGCCGCGCCGCCGCGCACCGCCCGCTGCCGAGCCGAGTCGGCTCCGAGCAGGAGCGGGCGGGAAGGCTGGGCCCGGCTGCCCCGAGGCCCGAGCAGGGCGGCTGCTTTGGCGCTCCGGTGAGACCCAGCGAGCCGAGCCTGCAGGCCGGGTCCCCAGCCTCTGCCCTCGGGAGTTTGGGTTTGCCCGAGGACCCCGGGGGCCGTGTGCGCCCAGGCGGGCCGGCCAGGACGCCGCTGGGGAGTGATGGAGCGGTCAGGGCACGCGCTGAGGCCTAGGCATCCGAGGAGGGGTGGCGGGGGTGGGAGTCCAGTGGAGTGGGGGAGCATGAATTTCCTGGGGACCCCGTGGGGACAGCCAGCTGGGGACAGCCCGGAGCCCAGGCAGGGAGAGTGGCTATGCCTGATTCCCGGCTGGTGTGCCCCACTCGCGCTGGCGCTGTGGTCCGCTTGGTTTCCAGAACGTCTCTATGGGGCGCAGGGCCTTCCTGTCAGTTGAATCCTGCACGGCTTAATTAATGGTCTCAGTCTCGTTAACTGGGCAGGCCCGACCCGGGACATTTAATCAAAAAGGCAGGGAGTTCTCCCTCCCTTCCCTCCTCTCTTCCCTCCTTCCTTTCTCCCTCCCTCCCTCCCTCCCTCCCTCCCTTCCTTCCTTCTTCTCTTCCTTCCTTCACATAGAGAGCTTCAAGGGATGGGAATGAAATCAACCCCTCTCCAAGTTTACCCCCTTCCCAATCTTCCTTCCTCCCCCAGCTCCCGGCTCCCGGAAGAAGGGCTGCAGTATGAACTCAACCCCAGTCCGGTATCCCGGCTGGAACTTTAAGGGAGCTGCAGGTGGAGGGGGCATGGGTGGGCGTCACCATCAGAGTCAGCTTCAAGGGACCGCAGTGCGGGCGGCTAGCAGAGGTCTGCTGGGCTCACTGGCACTGGGGCCGGCGGGGAGGGCAGTGGCTGAGCAACTACCTAGCCCAGAAACTAAGTCCACGTGCAGGCTTGTGAGCACCAGCCAGCTCAGAGATGTCACTGGGGTGAGATGTGGGGGTCCCCTCTTTCCTTAGTGCAACCCCCACTTCCTGGAATACATCCCAGAGGTCCCACTCCTTGGGCTGTCCAGCCAGCTCAAGCAGGCTGCAGTCCCCTGTTGGACACTCATCCCAGGACAGACTCAGGCTCTACTTGCTGGGAGAGCACAGTCTGGGGGTGACTCCCAGAAGGGGGCCTGGGAGAGACAGAAGGAAAGGTGCAAGCCGGTCCTCCACCTTGTGAGGGAAACGTTAACATTTTCATTCAGAGCGGCAGAGCCCAGTGCTTGGTGCAGAATGGCCCAGCTACAGGGTCAGATGCCCGGCAAAGTGCAGACTGCAGCCGTCCAGCTGCCCTGGGCGAGCCCGGGGCCCGGCCGAGCACAGCGCACTGCCCGATTCTCCTCATCCTTGCACCGGGGGCTGACAGGCAACGCTCTGGCCTGTGGGACTGTGCTTTCTGTCCCTCTGCCCCCACTGAGGCTATCTGACAGTAGAGGCCATCAACCCCACCCTGGGGGCTGTTTCTAAGAAAATGCCTGCAGCCCTACTCCGGTTCTGGAGCCCAAAGAGTAGGCACTTTCCGGGGACCCCTAATGTCCAAAAAGAAGGTCCCCCAGACTTTCTAATTATCCTCCCTCCGACCTGCTAGTCCATGTTTGAATTCGTGTTTCGCTCCTCTTGTCTTTATACTTGCCTTGTCTTGGGTAGCTCCAGTTCTCTCTCCCTCCCCCCTCCTCTCCCACACCCTCTCCCCGCCCCTCCATATCCCACCTCCTTTTTGTTAGCCTAATATGGGTTCCTTTAGAATTCACTGGACTTTGGCAGCCCGTGCACAGGGTGTGTGTGTGTGTGTGTGTGTGTGTGTGTGTGTGTGTGAGCGAGCGGCCCGTGCGCATGTATTTCTCGGTTGCTAATGATTGTGTGTTGATAGAGTAATGCAGTGGCCTCATTAGCCTTTGTTTAGAAGGTGTTAAAAGGGAAATCTGCATCGGAAAGCGGCGGTTTACACAGCAGCGGGGCTGAACACCGGGTGCCGGAGCAGCTGGGGGTGGGGGGCGCCCCACCTCCCCAGGCACCCTCCGCTGCGACCCCGGGAGGGGGGAGGGGACCAGGCCAGGCGACCCCCAGCTCCTTCCTCCCAAGGCGAGTATGTTTACCCGGCTGGGCGCCCTTCTTCTGCTCTGCGGGGACCGCAGCGGGGATCGCGCTTTCTCTAAAACTCCTCTGGGCTGCTCCGCCGCGGCGCGCGGTGGCCTTTCTCCCCCAGGTTTCTTGGGGAGGAAGAAGGGGAGGGCAGAATGCTGTTTCTGGGGAAAAAAATTCCAGGGATGTTTTTAGGGGTGTTGGGTGAGGCATCTTATTTTGGAGGCGAATACAAATCAGTCCGCAGAGGCTCGGGGTCTTGCGGCGGGTGGGTTGGTGGCCATCTCCCTGCCCCGGTGCCCATGCGCGGCCCCACGCTTTAGAAGGTCTGCAAAGAGTCCTCTTTCTTTCTTCCTAACACACCCGCAGACCCCCACAGGAAGAGCCTTTCTTGCATGGAAGGTTCCTTCTTAAACTTATTTTCCTAGTCTACCCCAACCCTAGGGCTCCGCTTAGGGACAAATTCCGAGAGAGAACGAGTCGTAGCGAGGCTGGCCTACTTCCCTAAAGCCTGGCGGAAGTGCATAACTTTATCTAGCCTGGGCTAGAGGGTGAGGGTGTGCGTTCGTGTTTATGCATGCGTCTAGGATTTGCAGCGGGAGCCGAGTGCTCGGCATTTTTCAGCCTCTGGGTGAAGCAAGGTTTCAGGCAGAGCAGAACGTGAGAAGAAATCTCGTTTTATCCCGGATCCTACGAAAGGACCCAGAAAAGAAATATTTTGGGTAGCCTCTGTGGGTGAAGCTTGTTGAACTTGGAGCCAGTCGCTTTTTCTGGGCAGAGGGAGAAAACTCGCTGCAGAATGCCTGCGGGCTCAGGTGGCAGCGGGATTGTATAGGTTCTGTTTGTAACACAATTCACCTCCATTTTTATTTATTTATTTATTTTAAATGATTTATGTATTTATTTATATATATATATATATTTTATGCCGGGACTCGATTGCATCAGAAGAAACAATTTCTCATCTTTCTGGCTTCCCCCTGCAAGTGTCGGTTTTCTGTCCCCTGGATTTGAGGTTGCGGGTCTTGGGGCGAGGCTCAGCTGGTCTGGGCGTCCGTGCATGTTCATAGCCTCGAACTCGCACCCGCGAACCATTCGACGTCGCTGCTTTTTTGTTTGTTTGGTTTTTGTTTTGTTTGTTTTGTGGTCGAAGGCGAGGTGTTGTCTAGGCGCAGATCATGGGCGGCTGGGGGCCTCGGGCAGTGACAGTGCCATGAATTCTAAACCCAATCTGAACTCGCCACGGCGACCCCCCACCCCTGGCTCGCACCCCCCGCTCCCACACCCTGTAGGCAGAAGCGAGGTCCTGCGGGAAGCCGGGTGAAAATCGGCCGCTGAGATGCGGAGCGATTGGATCAGGGCCGAGTTCGGAGGACGCGGGGAGAGGGTAGAAAAATCTCTACCGCTCTGCTCTGCTCTGTCTCTCTTTCTCCCCCGAGCAGGTTGGTCGCAGAAGGCAGGGGCGAGCCAGCGGTCGCTGCCTGGCTGTGCACCAGCGCCGGAGTTTGGACCAAGACAAAGACAGGAGCTGTCCGCGGTGCTGAACCCGCTGCTCGCCGCGGGCCGAAAGGCTCCCGGAGCCAGCCCTCTCGTCACTTGCCTCCTCTCTCTCTCTCTCCTTCATTCTGTCACTCTCGCCTTCCCCTGCTTTTATTTCACTTTTTGGGGGCCTCTCCTTAGAACCTGCATCCTGTACGCAGCTATACATATATATGTATATCAAAGAACAAAACGATTGATTAAAGATGGTGTCTTCTCCTTGCTTCCCAAATGTTGTTGGAAAGGTATGTTTTAACTACACCCTAAAACAGATACAAAGAGCTATTTCCACCCCCAAATAAATGGAAATTATAAAACAATAGAACTAAACCACAACAAATGCCATAAATCTGTCCTTTGATTTATTCTGAACAAAAGGTGAGGGGTTTAGAAACTTTAGCTTCAGGAATATATCCCTGGCACCCTAACTTCTCGGGGAGAAAAGTAGAAGAGTTGGGGAGGATTGGTGGTCCCACACAAAGGTGAACAGACTATGGCACCTGCCCAAGTGAAGAAAGATGGCTTGTCAGGTTCAAAGTGATGGACATTAAGTTGACTTAACCCTTTGAGG